GGGGGGGGGGGGAGAGGAAAATTAGGAAAATCATTTTACTATTTCAACCCACCCTCCACCCCCATAAAATGGACTATCTTTCACTCTTTACTGCCCCCTAGTGGCCTCCACCCAGATAACGGAACAATATCCAATATTGTATTGATGTGTTGTCGAAGGCTTTCATGGCTGGAATCACTGGGTTGCTGTAAGTTTTTTTTATCTTTATGGCCATGTTCCAGTAGCATTCTCAGAGGTTCTGTTGGCAGTGAAACAAGTGGAGTGTATATATATCTGTGGAATGTCCAGGGTGAGAGAAAGAACCCTTGTGTGTTTGAAGCAAGTGTGTATGTTGCAATTAGCAAGCTTGATTAGCATTGAGTAGCCTTGCAGCTGCAAAGTCAATCAGTGAGGGTATTTGCATAGGGGTTGTTTGGCTGTTGTGCCTGGAGGCATCCTTTGTTTGGGAGGTGTTAACTGGCACTACGTCCTTTGCTGTCTGGAGTTCCCCTGTTTCTGAGCAGTGTTCCTTATTTACTGTCTTGATTTTGGTGCTTTTCAATACTGGTAACCAGATTTTGTTTATTCGTATGAATTTCTCCTTTCTGTTGAAATTGTCCAAGTGCTTGTGGATTTCAATAGCCTTTTGAGCCCAAAAAACTCACAACAGCCCATTGTATTGTTCATTCTTTCCTTCTTTCCTTTTTTTCACTTTTTTTCTCACTCCATCCCTCTGTCACTGGCCTGGCCCATACCTAGTATATATACATTATATATAATATAATATAATATGTAATCTTTATATATAAAATTACAGCATGTGTATGTTTGTGCTCACAAAACTCAAAAAGTAGTTGGCCAATTGAGTTGACATGTTGCATTCCAAAACTCGCGTGTTTTAATAGTAAAATGAAATTTTGACACAACGTTGCATTCCAATACACATGTGTATTTAGAGTAAAATTAGCAGTCCAGAAACAAAGTGGCCACCAAAAATGATCTGAGCATCCACTCTTATGAAAGTAGTCCAAAAGAAAATCTGTGTTGCCCACAGCAACCACTCACAGGCAAACTTTCATTATAAGAAATGAAAACTAAGCTCTAGCAACCAATCACTGCACAGTTTACCTTTTATCTCAGCAGAATTAGACAAAAACAACCTATCACAGAGTAACTTTCATTTTACCTCAACAGAAGAAAAAACAACCAATCACCGCACAGCTTTTCTTTTACATCACCAGTAGAAATACCAATCAAACAAAGAGTAGCTATAATTTTACCACAGCAGTATAAGAACTCAAAACGGAGCTGTTTACTTTCACATTCATTTCATATCAGACTGAGCCACAGTGGCTGGGTTTAGCTAGTATAATATAATATATGGTACTGTTCCATTATCTGGGCAGAGGCCACCAGGGGGTACTAGAGAAAAAAAATAGTCCATTGCTGGGGGGGGGGGGGGGGGGGGGGGTGTGAAGAAGGAAAACAATTTACTTGTTTTCTCTGGTTATTCTCCCTCCCCATTTCCCATTTCATGAACGAGGGTTGTTTAGAGGACGGAAACATGGGTGGGTGGGAGGGGAATAACAAAAAAAAAAAGGGGGGGGGGAATAGTTGAACTTTTTCAACTGACCTTCCAACCCCATAAAATGGACTATCCTTCTCTCTCTAATGCCCCCTAGTGGCGTCTGCCCAGATAATGGATGATAACTGTGAATTATTTCACACAACTATTTTCCATCCATCTGCCACTGATCCATACGTGAGATATATACATACATACACACACACACACACAGTAGAGCAGAGCAGAGCAGAGCAGAGCAGAGTAGAGTAGAGTAGAGTAGAGTACAAACAAGGGCAAACTTCAGCCCTCCAGGTGTTTTGGACTTCAACTCCCACAATTCCTAACAGCCTCAGGGCTGAAGTGCTATAGTATAGTATAATATCTTGGGAGGTCTGACTTGGCCACGGTGGTCCACGCTCTGGTTACATCCCGAATAGATTACTGCAACACACTGTACATGGGATTGCCTCTGAAGACTGCTTGGAAGCTCCAGCTAGTCCAATGCTCTGCAGCCAGTTTGCTCACTGGAGCAGGATACAGGGATCGCACAACTCCCTTGTTACGCCAGCTCCACTGGCTGCCTATTAGTTTCTGAGCGCAATTCAAAGTGCTTGCTTTAGCCTATAAAGCCCTAAACGGTTCCGGCTCAGTTTACCTGTCTGAACGTATTTCTCTCTATGAACCACCAAGGCCCTTAAGATCATCCAGGGGGGCCCTGGTCTCAGTCCCACCACCATCGCAGTTGCATTTGGTGGGGACAGGAGACAGGGCCTTCTTGGTGGTGGCCCCTTGGCTGTGGAACTCCCTAATGAGATCAGATCTGCCCCCTGCCTCCTGACCTTCCGGAAGAAACTCAAATCCTGGATGTGGGATCAAGCGTTTGCAGAATAGACTGACTTGCTGGAAAAGATAATGTTTTTAGTGAACTGCAATGGACTGATTAGGATGATGATTTGAACTGGTGAAATGTATATTGGTAACTGTTTTAATTTGTGCTAATTGTATTTTATGCTATGTTTTATATTGTGTCGGCATTGAATAGTGCCTGTTGGTAGCCGTCCTGAGTCCCTCTTCAGGGGTTGGGAAAGGCGTGATTGAGATATAAATGTTCCAAATAAATATAATATAAATATAAATATAATGGAGCTCCATGCAGTCATGTTGGCCACATGACCTTGGAGGTGTCTATGGACAACGCCGGCTTAGAAATGGAGATGAGCACCAACCCCCAGAGTCAGACACCACTGGACTTAATGTAAGGGGAAACCTTTACCTTTAACCTATAAACATTTTTTAGGGCTCCACCAGAAACTTCAAAAAGGGCTCGCTGGCTGAAAACGTTTGAGAAAAAGATGGAGCCCACATCATCACACTAGAGAGAAAAAATCCACTTAAAGTCTGGTTACTGCCTCCTGCAGAATTCTGGGGTTTGTAGTTTAGTGGGGCTGTTCAAGGCGCCTCCCTAAACTACAAATCCTAGAATTCTGCAAGAGGCAGCAACCGAATTTTAAGTGGGTTTTTTCTCTAGCGTGATGAGGCATCTGAGGCTCTAGGCAATGGATACTTCTGGAGAAAGGATCCCTCTCGAGCAGGCACGGGCAAACTTCGTCCCTCCGGGTGTTTTGGACTTTGACTCCCACAATTCCTAACAGCTCTAGAGAAGGGATGCTCTGGGGAAGAGGTGGAAGAAGAAGAAGCAACGCTGCTCGGGCGGGAGGGGGGGGGAGGGAGGGAGGGAGGGAGGAAGGGCTCTCCGCCTCGCCCCCGCCCCGTCCCGCCGCGCCGCCCTCCAAGAGCCGGCAATCTGCTTCTCATTTCCTCCGGGAGTTGACGTTTCCCGGCTCCTTGGCAAGGCGGGGGTTTGCCCGCAGTCGTTCCCCGCCGTTGGGTAGCATTCGCAAGCGGACCTCGCCGCGGCTGACTGCCCGTAGTCCCCTCCCCACTCGCGAGGAAGGAGGAGGAGGAGGGGGAGAAGGCGAGGGAAGGACGGGCTCCTTCTCCCCGCGGGACCCGAGGGTTTGGGCGCTTGGCTCCCGGGACCCTTTCTGCCCCGCTTGGGGGTGCCTCCCCGCCCGGACCCACGCCGCGGAGCGGGACTTGCAACCTGTTCGCCCGGCCGAGGTAGGTTGCGCCCTCCCTTCCCTCGCTCCTCTCTCCTTTCTTCCTTCTTCCCTCCCTCTTTGCTTGCTTTCTTGCGTCCCTTCTTTTCTCCTTCCTTCCTCACTCTCTCCTTCCTCTTTCCTTCATTCCCTCCCTCCCTTCTCTCTTTCCTTTCCTCCCTCTTTCCTCTCTCCTTTCTTCCTTTTCTCCTTCTTTCTTTCCTCCCCTCCTTCTTTGCTTGGTTGCTTGCTTCCCTTCTTTTCTCATTCCTTTCTTCTCTCCCTTCCTTCCTCGCTCATTTCTTCTTCTTTCCTCCCTTCCTCCTGTCCGTCCTTCCTTCTTTCCTTCCTTCCCTCCCTCTTTCCTCTCTCCTTTCTTCCTTCTCTCCCTGTTTCCTCCCTTCTCTCCGTTTTTGCTTACTTCCTTCCTCCTTCCTTTCTTCCCTTTTCTCTTTTCCTTCCTTCCCTCTTTCTTTCTTCCTTCCTTCCTTCCTTCCCTCCTTCCTTCCTTCCCTTTTTTCTTTCCTTCTCTCCTTCCTTCCCTTCCCTTTCCTTCCTTCCTTCCTTCCTTCCTTCCTTCCTTCCTTCCTTCCTTCCTTCCCTTCTTTCTTCCTTCCCTCTTTGCTTCTTTCCTTCCCTCTCCTTTCCTATATTCTTTCCATCCTTCTTCCTTCCTTTCTTCCTTCTCTCTCCTTCCTTCTTTCTTTTTCCTTCTTTCTTTTTCCTTCCTTCCTTCCTTTCTTCCTTCTCTCTCCTTCCTTCTTTCTTTTTCCTTCTTTCTTTTTCCTTCCTTCCTTCCTTCCTTCCTTCCTTCCTTCCTTCCCTCTTTGCTTTCTTCTTTCCTTCATTCCCTCCCCCTCTCCTTCTTTTCTTCCTTCCCTCTGTGCTTCATTCTCTTCATCTTCCTTCCTTTTTTCCTCTCCTTTTCTTCTTTTCTCCTTCATTCTCTCCCTCCCTCCCTCTGAATTTCCTTCCCTCTTTGCTTCCTTCCCTCTCCTTCTTTCCTACCTTCTTTCCATCCTTCTTCCTTCCTTCCTTTCTTCTCTCTCTCCTTCCTTCTTACCTTCCTTCCTTCTTTCTTTTTCCTTCCTTCCCTCCCTCTCCTTCCTCTGTCCTTCCTTCCTTCCTTCCTCACCTTATGCTGTGACCAGATAAGTCTCTGCTTCCCTCTCAGCCTTTGCTTTCTAACTCTTGGCATCATTCTGAAACTTGTTTATAAAGAAGCTGGGAAAGTGTCTCTTCCCCGTTTGCAGGGATTTAAAAATCTGATTCTACACGCCCTGCTTGCTCTGCCCCGTCCAAGTGAAATAGTCTTATAACAGAGTCAAAAGACATACTTTCCTATTTTTCTTCTTCTTTTTCTTGGTTCTCCTGTTTCTCTCCCCTCTGGCTTCCCCTTTGATTTCCTGTTTAATTCCTTCATAACTTCTTGGTGGGATTTCAGTTGGGGAAAAAAAGACATAACTTTGAGCACACTTTCCATAGGAATAAATTCTGCACTGACTTATCAGCAAGGAGGTGTGGAATATGTGTGTCTATAGAGAGAGAAAGGGTGTGCGTCTTGTTATATAATAGGCAGGCCCCCCAAAGCAGTTGTGTGTTGTCTTTTCAAAGAAAGTCCTTTGCTGTGCAGTTTTGAGAGAGGTGGTTTTTCTTGCATGCATGGGCCAACTTGGGCCCTCCCTCCAGGTGTCTTGGACTTCAACTCCCACAATTCCTAACAGCCTCAGGTCCTTTCCTTTTCCCCCTCAGCTGCCCGCTCTGCTGAGGGAGAAAAGGAAAGGACCTGAGGCTGTTAGGAATTGTGGGAGTTGAAGTCCAAGACACCTGGAGGGAGGGCCCAAGTTGGCCCATGCCTTATCTAGAGGCAGCCCACATCTTGAAACCAGCATCTTGCTCTCGCGCACTTTCTGTTCTTGACTGTATGTGTGAGATTGGCAACAGGGACACCAGATGCCTCCCGAAAGGTTGTTCTTGGCACCCACAAGCCTGGAATCGGAGGATGCAGGAAAAAAACGAGCATTTCCTGCCCTCGCCTTGCCCTGTTGCATTGGATGAGAGCACAGGTGGATTTGGGGGAAAGTCTCCCACCCTTTCTCTTGCACCAAGAATAGGTGCCCCTTAGCTCTGAGCAAGAGCCACCCTCTAGAAAAGAATCACTTTGTTGTCATTGTACGTCATACAATGAAATAAAATGCTATTCCCAATCACATTATACATATGTACAAATTACAGAACAAGGTACCCATCTTTCCACATTCTGATCGCTAATTTCACAACTCCGTAATACAGGCATGGGCAAACTTGGGCCCTCCAGGTGTTTTGGACTTCAACTCCCACAATTCGTAACAGCCTACCATTTGCCCATACCTACAGCAGTACCACATCAGTATGAAACCATAGAGTTCAATATAGTCAGAGCACTGGGATAAAAGGCTGTTTGTACTTGTTTTTATCATCCTATACAGTCTGCCAGGTGGTAACTATTTTAAAAAAAGAATATCCAGGGTTTATTTCTTTATCATGTCAGAAGCGAATTGAGAATACAGTTATATTTAAAAAGCACCAACAAAGTTAAAAACTTGGCATTATACTAAATGTCATTTGACCAGAAGCTGGCCACTTGAAGTGCCTCTGGTGTCACTGTGAGAAGGTCCTCCATTGTGCATGTGGCAGGGCTTAGACTGCATTGTAGTAGGTGGTCTGTGGTTTGCTCTTCTCCACAGTTGCATGTTGTGGACTCCACTATGTAGCCCCATTTCTGAAGATTGCCTCTGCATCTCCTGATGCCAGAGCGCAGTCTGTTCAGTGCCTTCCAAGTTGCCCAGTCTTCTGTGTGCCCAGGAGTGAGTTTCTCATCCGGTCTCAGCCACTGATTGAGGTTCCGGGTTTTAGCCTCCCACTTTTGGACTCTCGCTTGCTGAGGTGTACCTGTGAGTATCTCTGCAGATCTTAGGAAGCTATTTCTTGTTTTAAAGCATTGGTGTGCTGGTTGATATCTGAACAGAGGATGGGCCAGAGATGACAATATCTTGTTATTTTCATTGCTGGCTGCTACTTCTTGATGGATGTCAGGTGGTGCAAAACCGGGTAAGTGTAATTTCTCCAGCAGTATAGGTTGTAAACATACTGTCATAATGTGGCATTTCTCATTAGGAGCCACATCCACTGTTTTAACATGGTGAGAGGTATTCCACATTGGACATGCGTATTCAGCAGAAGAGTAGCAAAGCGCAAGGGCAAATGTCTTCACTATGTCTGGTTGTGATCCCCAGGTTGTGCCAGGCAGCTTTTGTAGGATATTATTTCTAGCACCCACTTTTTGCTTCATAGTCAAGCAGTGCTTCTTGTAAGTCAGAGCATGGTCCAGAGTGGCTCCCAGGTATTTGGGTGTGCTGCAATGCTTCAGTGGGAGGATTCCTTCCCAGGTAATCCTCAGAGCTCGAGATGCTTGTCTGTTCTTAAGATGAAAAGCACACATATCCAAGGTGAGATGGATCCTTAAGAATATTTTGAGCTTTCTTAAGGCAGCAGGAATGATAAAGTTCTTCCAAGGTGGAGAGAAAGAGAGCAACCCATAATTCTCTGGGCAGGAGTGGTGACCCTTTGGAGCATCTTCCTATCTGCCACTGTGTGGCTACTAAACCATGAACAGATGTAGGACTCTCTATACACAGCGGTAGAATGTCACTAACAGTTTTCCATTCAATTGTTGGTTTCTTAAAAGTCTGAGATCATACAGTCTCTGCTGGGCTCTCTTAACTAACACAGCCGCAGCAGGAACGATGCCGCAGGACAAGTCTTCCTGAGCAATGCAGCACCCAAGGACTTAAAACTAGCCACCCACTCCACTCGATTTTCATTTATAACCTTATCCTAACCCATTATCCTCTGGGCAGGAATGGTAGTTGTTTCTTCAAAGTCTTGGATAATAATGCAATCTCTGCTGGGCTGTCTTAACTAACACAACCGCAGTATGAACGCTTTCCCAGGGCAAGTTTTCCTGAACAATGTAGCAACCAGGACTTAAAACTGGCCACCCGCTCCACTCGATCTCCCTTGATAACCAAAGGATGAATTTCTGATCTATTCTTTCTCTAGTCCTCTTGCAGAGTAGAAAAGTTCAGAGAGCAGCCTTCTGTAGGAGGCAGTCGTCCCTTATGTAGAGCTCTTTTGCCTCTTTTGAGGGAAGGGCTCACCGTTGGGCACACTTCAATGCGACATGGAACAGTTGGGGTTCCAGCTAAGCATCCCTCGAAGGCAGAAGCTTCTCCTCCTTGGCCCCATTGCAGATGCTTTGGACTACAGTTCCTCTCATTCCCAGGTAGCAAGACTATTTGAGTTATAGGACAAGGATGGTGGGAGTTGTAGTCTCTGCTGAGGGGTGGCTTCAAACTCCATCCATGCCCAGCCTGGTGATTCCTGGTTTATTAAAGCAGGTTTGAACAGGACTCTTTGCTCCAATGTTCCTTTGTTCTGAGATGTCTTCCTTTTTATTGGCAGGCAAGATAGATCAGTGTTTTAAGAAGAGCTCTTTAGCATTTGTATTTTGGCCAGAGAAAGTTGGCAGACCAAAAACATACCCTCAGTGGCATTATTCATCACATTAAATCATCTGAAGTTGTGGCTCCTAGAAAGAAGGGAAAAGACCATCTGTTTTAAAGGCACACAAGACCCTGATGTCAGAGCTTTTCTTAAAAAGTGTGTCAGTTCTGAAAATAAGAAACCTAAGAGACACAGACCTGGAGGGAATGCAGAGGTCATTTAGGCGAAGGCTGTGCTGATGCAGCAAAGTCCCCTTGAAAGGATGTCCCTTGAGTCTCCTTTTAAAAAGACCAGCTCCTGGGTCTATTTGTTTTGTTCTCAACCAACTCGCACTATCAGGGGACTTCTCCTAAAGTTCTGTCTTCCTTTCTTTGAATTGTCTCCATCTCCTGTTTTGGAGGGTGGAAAATACATTTGCTCCATCTTCTATGTGTGAGCCTTTCAAATTGATGAAGATGGCTATTGCATTGCCGCTTT